CTTCGACCCCTAATGTTGATACGGGTGAATATAGCGGCGAAGTAAAACGACGAAGAATTGATACGTTTAACGTATGGCAAGAGGAAGCGAATAATACGACTAGAAATGGAATCAACAAAGAGAGTAATATAAAAATTACTCATAGTTTTATTACTCAAGATAATTATTATGATGCTCACGATAATTATGCACCTGAAATAAAAAAAGAAAACCAAGCAGTAATCAAGAAAGAGAAAAGTAATCATAATAGTAATTATAAATCTAGTTCTAGTCTCAAAGAAAGATAATAATAGCAATGTAAGAGATAAAATTTGCAATAACGATAGAAACTATCCCCAAAGAAATGTCTTCCAAAATAACAAAGGCTCTACTAGCAATAATGACAGAGAAAATACTAATAGTCAAACTGTTATTTTTTCAGTAAACGATTCTTCTTATAAAGATACATACTTTATATCAAACATAGAATTTACAACCGTGCAAGTCATAAAATCACTAGGTAATGATCAATATTGGGTATTTAAATTAGAAGATACCTATGCACGTACCAATTTATTGACAAAATTGCAAGGTATGAAAAATTTACCAAATATGTTGCCAGTTATTGGTGAGGTTTATGGTCTTAAATATGAAGATCTTTGGTATCGAGCTATGGTAACATCCTTGAATCCTACTGTGGTCCACTTTATTGATTTTGGTATCGATGAGACACTAATAAAAGATGCCGAGCTGAAAGATCTTGGAGAATTGAAATCTCCTATTATTACCAAAATTCGTTTGCCACAGGGCATAAGTGATAAGTACAGGAATTTACAACGGGGAGATAAAATTTCCGTTAGAATGTTATTTGTCGATTCTGAAAAAACAATAATAGTAGAAATAAAAGAAGTACAGCCTGTTGCAACAGATACAACTTTGCATGCGACAGAAAGTGCTTCAAGTAATGCAACGAAAAAGTTTGTATCTCAAGAAAATTCGGAGGCAACGAGTAAAAGTACGAATGCTTTCACGGTTCAAGTATCTCCTTTTACAAAAGAGTTATAAATTTATTATTTTTCTTATATTCAAACTTGTTCCTTGTTATAGATTTGGAAACAAATGGAAATAGTACAGATTCGGAAATAGTACAGATAAAGCAGGAGTTAACACCGAGAGAGTTAAATAATATTAAAATTGAGAATTGCCTCAAGGACGGCGAAATCGAGTTGCCAGATGTTTGCGCCGCGCTTTCGGAAAAGCTCATGTTAAAGTATTTTATTATGTGATCTTTTTTAGAAATTAAGACTTTTTTTTAGTCTTAAGACATTATATGACTTGATTATCATTTATGTCACTATCATCATGATGTAAGATTCTTACATCATGACTATCATTATGTTATCACTTTATCATTTTAAACAGTGACATATTTGATTATTTGAGTTGTTAGATGTTTACGCCGCGTTTATAAAACATCTCGTGTCTTTGCCAAAGTTTTTTATTATGTAATCTTATTTAGAAATTAACTTTTTTTTTAGTCTTAAAACTGCTGTGGCTCCTCAAATTTCTTCTGTGCCTTCTACAATATGTGCTCCAAGTTCATCCAATAATAATTCTGATTCGGATAATAAGGTAAAGCTTGGGAACATGGATGTTGAAGGGCAAGATGGCCAACCGAGATTGCGCAGAAAGCTACCTGGATGTAAGTATTTCCAAATTAGAGATTATAGAAATGTACTATTTCATACATCTGTAATCTATTTAGAATTATAATTTGAATATTTAGAACCATTTTTGAGGATAATATAAAAATGTATAATAAGAATATATAATCACATGTAGTCATATATGTAATACTTTCAGCACTAATTTTGATAATCTTTTCGATATTATTACACATAGATTTTTAATTGTAGTAGAATCATAATGTTAAAAGAAAATCTTATACAAAGGATAAATAAATTAAAGAATTTGTGATTAAAACAATAAAAATTGCAGCAATATTTATTGTATTGTAATATAAAATTCAATTTGTTTCTTTTTATGATGACATTTCACTGTGCAAATTTGAAGATTCAGGAGCATTGA